AGCTTTTCCTGGCTTTTAGGAGTCTTTCAAAAGATAAAGTGCATCTTATTCCAGAATTTTGCTGGTGCAGACCCACCAGATCAAGGGGACATTTTCTCTCATTCTCCATAAAGAGAAACTTTCAAAGACCTCTTCAAGTTACCTACTTGAATCAGAAGCTGCCTCTTGCTTCACTGTGTATTTTAATACACATAAAGAAGAAAACGATGCTAGAAAACTCCTGCTTTTGGAACTTTGCAAAATTTTTTGCATTTCCATTTCCTTAAAATAGTTTCCTTAGCAGGTTCAAATACCAAATACAAGCAAGGTAACAGCCCTGCAGCTCTACAGGGTGCCTGTAGTTTTAGACAGACTGCATCACCTCCGAGGGACCTCTCCGTATGGGCCACAGACAAACTATATCATATCCCTCACTTAGACATCTCAGAGATAGGTAACACAAGCCTAGGCTAAAGAATACACTCAGCCTGTTTTAAAGAGCCGGTTTTATTCTTTAGGTGCCAAAATATGAATTTAAGGACCCAAGTTATATTCAAATCTCTAGCCATCAGACGCATACCCAAATAAATTATTGATTCACTTCACTTGGTGCAAAACCAATAAACAAGAGCTCCTCCTGTGAACAGTATTGCCTCTTCCCTTTCGCCACACTGCATTGAGATAGTCATAAAATCAGTGACAATTTTCTCAGCTGTGGAAGGTAATGGCTGGTCTGTCCATCACCCAGGCCTGTCTATATTACGTGCCTTCTCTCTTGTACTCACTGATGTGGTGCTATAAAGGAAGAAAAATGTGGTCTCAACTTACTCTAGGCTCAGGGAAGCAACCAAATAACAGATACCAGGAAAGTAATGAACAGAGCTGTATTTTTTGAAGAAAAAAAAAGTTCAGTGTTGATGCTGATATATTTTCTAGCTTTCTCCTCAATCCTGTTATAAATGCAAGCTGAAGCTCCCCAATTCATAGCTGTCCATGTATTTCTATTCCCTCGTCTGAGTTATTCCTTCTAATCTCACCGTTGCTTTTGGATTCTACTTTGATCACCACTGTAAACTTTACACCTTCTTTCCCTGCTTGAACTGGAGACAGGTACTGCAGCCCAGCCCTCCCCACAAGAGACCAGGCCTTCTGAGACACGCAAACCCTCCAGAGACAAAGCAAGCAACCCTCGAGGGGAGCACAGCAAAGGAACAACCCTGCCAGGTTCCCCGTGAGAAGCAAGTAACGAGCTGCCAGCCCAACGAGAGGCTGCACTTTGCAGATAAGGTAGGGAGTTTTGTGGAAACATGCCCTAAAATAGGTGCTGCTTTGCAGAAAAGCTGAAATATTGCATTGAAACTATTAGGAGTTTCCTTTTTAAAGGGTGTATTTTCCTTTATAAGCATGCACTGCTGTACTGTTATAATCATACAGCTTAACACAAGTAATTTGCCAATAGTTGTCTGCATTTAAATGAAAACAAACACTATTTTGCAAAATTCATTTGCACCAAAAATTCAGAGCTTGTTACATTGGTTCCTCTTTTTTTTTTCTTTCTTTCTTTTTTATAAAATTTTCTTAATGGAAACCAATAGTTTTCTGTGTGCTAAAGACTGTTTAGCAGAAGCCTGGCAAGCCTACAGATGATATTTTATGTACAGTAAACACATGGGTGTGAAATGCTCTTCTAAGCCAGCAGAGGGACTTCCACAACGCATTTGATTGAATCATTTTCTCCTTTTGTGCTAGGGAAGGACATGCTGGGTGCACGTGCGTGTCGCACAGGCTGCGGGAGTCCCTCAGTGCTATCCTGGGATGAAGGCCGGGAGGATGGCAGGAGGCCGGGGCAGCGGCGCGCGGCCGCGGCACTGCACACCCCAGAGCTGCTGGCTGCGCGCCCCGAGTGCTCCTTTGCCACCCGGGCCACTAGGGGCATATTCCAGCTCTCCACTCTCTTTGCTGCTTCCTCTATTTCTTAAACTTTGCCCTTGCACTGTCAATAAGTTCAGTTCTAAGATAACTTTTGTTTACCCCTCAATTTAACTTGTGTCAGTTCATGCTTAATCCAAGATTACTTTTTACAACCAGTTCTTTCAAAATGCCCTCACGATTTACCACAGCAGCTCTCCTTCTGGGTCAGGGTGCCTTCTGTTCCTGGCCACTCATACACCAGATCATTTATAAATGTTCTCCATCACAGATCAGCTGCTTAATTCCCCTCCATATATAGGAGAAAAAAAAAATCTTTTTTCTTTTTAATTTAGAAGTGATCACTGTAATGCTCAGTGCCTATACACCACGAAAATATCAATATCCACGAATATCAGCTAGTTAATCCTCACAAGTCCTTCATCAATAAACAAATATGAAAATAAGGCAGAGAGGAGTTAAATGTCAATAGCTGTTAGCCAATATTTGATCAGGATTGAAATGTCGGTTTCCTTAGTTCAGACTTATTTTTAACTGTTAAACATACTCACCACTTGCACAAATCATTTTTTATTAACAATTATTGGCCTTGGAGAACTCAATTGCAAATCCAGATCTTCACAAAGCGCTTAAATGTTTTGGAAAAAACACAGTAATCTGCCCTTTCCCTGATGATGATTTCTCTATCTTGTGTCCTGTGAAAGTCACATGTGTCCATTTCACACAAAAAGTGTCCCTCTAATCTGTTGTAAATCTAATTTAGCAGATTTTGATGTGATTAAGGAAACCAGTATCAATATTCTATAACAGCCACAGCATACAAAAATAAGTAGCCTCTATGCCACAATCCACAAGACTCAGAATGGGCTAATGTCCCAGCCATTTCCAAACACATTTTACCTGCCACAGGTGATTTGCACATTAAGATGGAATCGGTAGGTGCATAAAGGAAGGAATTAAGTATTGTCTGTATTTTCCACAGAGAAAACGAGACCTCGTTCCAATCAACTGGAATCAAGTCCACATTTTTTAAAAATAACATCATTGTAATTAATGACAACTTAACACATTGACTACAGTAGACTGACAACCTAAAGGGAAGACTTACACGGAGGAAAGCTTTCACCACGTTTTGTTGTTTTTCATGAAGCCATGTCCATACCATACATTACTAAATTAACAATAATACCTCTACAGTCACTTGAAAAATCCCCTTATCGTCTTTGTTCCTTTCTTCTCTAAGTGAGGTGGATTTTTCCTTCACAGTTTCAGTGAACCCTGGCTGCAGCTTCTAAGAGGTTCATTATCTCTCCCATCACACCAGTTTCTGCTTTCAAGGCTTATTGTTTATTTCTTAATAGAAACCGAGAGACTAAAACCCCTTCAAAACACCCAAGGTGCCTTTGCTACTGAGTAACAAGCAAAGCATCATGCCTGCTGTAAGCCTTACTTAATCAAAAAATCATATATTACATGAACATTGGGACACTCGGAAGTACAATTGCCCTAATTTCTTTCTTAGATGCAGGAGCACTTGACATGGTATTAAAACAGGCTGTCATTTTGAGTCACGATTATGGGCTTGATTTCCTTATGCAAAATATGTTTTAGTAATGTGCACAATTCTTTTAGGCATTGTTTCCAGCAGGACTCAGAAGTAATGGAAGAGCTTCCAGTTGGCACGGTGAAAAATTTTAACACATATGGACTAGGCTATCCAAATACAACCTTCCTAACAGTCAGATCCTGGGTTGCATGGATTGGCATTGCTCTTCTAGCCTCTGCTTTGGCAAGAACCTCTTGAAGAAACTCACCAAGCTAAAACAAAATTAACTATGGGATTATTTGCACAGCAGTCCTAGGAGCTTTCCCTTCAAGCCTCACCGAAATGCAGTGGGATTGTATGGACCAATTCCCTGAAAGCCAATCAAAAATTCACCCTCTAAGGGTGCTTGTGTGCATGGGGGTGCGTATGGGTGAGTATGCCTATACATATATGTATGCACACATCTATACATATATGTTTTTGGCTCTGTGCATCCGTATAGCCGCACACATACACGCAGCGATGTGCAGGCCCATGCACACACACGCAAGCAGTACGACACCGGGATGCTTTGAGCTGACAGAAGGCATTCCCGTCATGCTGGAGTGAAACCGCTTCTCTCAATTGCTACTCTCAGCAGTTAGTTCTGTCAAACTAATAATACACATCTGCACAGCAAAATGATACAATTTCAGTATTAGCATACAAAATAAAGGTAAGTATAGGTTTCCCATGTCTTTATCTTTTGAATTTTCTCTCTATTGGAGAAACTTGCCAAACCCAAATACTTACATTTCTTTCTATGTGGCATTTCTGTTTTTGATAGGAAGAAAAAAAATGCATCTCTGTTTAAGATACAGGAGATTTTCCCTCTTCGGTTTGGTTTTTGATTCCTTACAATATACAATAAACATAACTACAGCAGACTATTTAATAGACCTGTAAGCATTACATGGCCTACGGCTGAAGAGAGTCCAGCTGTCTCAACTAAACAAAGTAACTTGCTGTAAGAGCAATTTTCAGGTCAGTGATAAATCACAGCGTAATAATACAATCATGCACCGAGCTTAAAACAAATGTAAGACTGGCACAAGTATTATAGTACAACTGGGCAGAAGTCAAAGGTATGTACAAGTCATTTCCAAACATTGATGCAAGTGCATTAGACAAAACATTTAAAAGAAATCTACACTGAAACATAGATAAATTTATCAAAGTTTGATAAATTTTAACGAGAGTAAAAAAGTACACAGAACGTGAAAAAATAAAAAAACTCAGTCAATTCATACAATACAGTTTTACTACATTCATATTACAGAATGAAGACTGAAAAGGATATAAGGAATTAAGAGAAAAGAAAATTCTCCTGACTGTGGTCAGAGGAATTTCATTGCCAATGAGAGATGCGCACAAATGCACGCACACACACAGAAAATAAGACAAAAAGAAAAGAATCATTTACTATAACAAATGACAGACACAGAGGTGAGAAACGTTTGGCATGTTGCAGCACATGGAGTCATTCACGATTGGCTAACGATGGTACCTGGCTCGGCTGGAGATCGCTGGCTTGCCTGAGCGGAGTCACGGATGGAGGAGGCACACCGGACGTGGACGCGGAGCGGCCTAGTCTGCAGCTGGACTTAGGCTCTGGGAAGGAAGGGAGAAGGAAAACAGTGAAGAGGAGGTGGGTTAGTGATGCCGTAAGGTGGACCTTGGAGGGCCCTGGATCACCTTGCTCAGGGGGATCTGAGAGCCCAGGCTGGGTTTCTAGGTGAAACCTCTTGTTTCTTGGGCTGCATGAAGAAGAGAAGCTGGGGTTGGAAGAATGGGGACAAAACCCCTCCCGCATCCCAGCCTTCCCCTCCCCTGCTGGTATCTCGCATATCAAGGAAGACTTTCTTGCTCCTCCCCAGCTCCCTCTTCTCCTCTTCATTAAATATGGTAGGAATAACAGGCTTGTGCTTTCATTTCTCGACCCACACCTGAGGGAGGAGACAGTTGCCCAAACGTTGATTGTGCATGAAAAAGAGAAAATGAAGGAAATACATAAAAGCAGTTAGGATACTATGGCATTGGAGATTTGAAAGATCACTAGGAAATCTGATATTAATGGCATTGAATTGAGAAAAGAAAGAAGAAAGGATAGAAATACAGACTTTAGCAGTGGCAAATTCTGTAGCTAGTTCCCCCAAATAGAGGCCATTACAGAAGTGGAGGTAGCTTTGAATTAAAACAGAGAGTCCAATTCCAGAGAACTCCTCCTCAGAAATCACACCGTTGTTTAGTCTTCCTTCTGTTTTGCACACACATTTTCCAGAAGGCCCCCACTGACCCCCATTCAGGCTACGACAGTTAACGCCACCGTGACCATGCAGCTGAGCAATCGTGAAATAAGGTTGGTGGGTCTGGGCTTCATCCCAGTAACACAAGTGCTGCCCTACAGTGTGTGACAACCAACAACTGCCCTTGAAGAAACTCTTCTCCTGAGCAAAGGGTCTACCTGTTTCTGGCTGAGAAAAATACTTGTCCTACAACACTTCTGTCCTACAACACTTCCTGTTCATGACCAAGGAAACCTCTCTTCTCAACTCAAGACTTTGTCTTGGATGAATGTTCTCATCTTGCTCATGTTTTATGCCATTTCCTGCCAGCCTTGCACTCATCTTTTCATTTATTGTGCAAATGCTGAGATCAGGAACTATCACACCAGGCAGCTGATAGTGTTTTAACCTGAATAACAACTAATAATACCATGCCTCCTTAATGACAGTTTGAAAGATCATCTCCTACTCAGTCTCTTCTTTTCAGGAAGCGAGGAAAGACACATGCCTCTTGCAACCCTGGTTTAGAAATTTTGCCTTTCAAGCACATATTTTCTCAAGTATCTTTTCTGCTTGTGTGTCTCTGAAACGTGTTTTCCCACTATCAGAGCTGCTTTGTCTCTATTTGCTTCATACAAATCCCTCTCCTGCATGGGATCTCTAGGAGCCATTGGCTATCCTGTTGCTCAAGAGGAGTGCTCCATCACTGGCACTTCTTGCAGCTCACGTTGCTCAAGAGGAGTGAGATTCTCCATCACTGGCACTTCTTGCAGCTCACCTGGTACCCGATGGAAAACCCGAGACGGTGGGCACATCATGCCCCCCACCAGCAGCACGCTGGGGGATGCGCCTTCCACCTCACGGATGCTTTTGCTCTATCACCTTAACTCCTTATTTGCCTAAGATGTTTCAGAATTCAGTTGGGTGTGGGGAAGGGCTGTTCACTTACGGTGGAGCACTCAGACCAATGAAAGCATCTGTATGGGTGAATATTCATCAGCTAAATATTAATAGGTTGGTTAACATCCAGCTGGCTAAGCAGAAAAAAATATTTATGTTTTTTGATGAATGTATTATTCAATTTACTTATCCCTAGTAAGTCTGCAAACATAATATGAATCAACATGGCAATAAGTATAAAGAAAAAAACAGAGTGATCCCCCCCATAACCCTGCATTTTGTACATAATTCTGTTTTTTTGGGGACTAGGGCAGTTATTCTGAAGGTTTGATTAGATTTGTTTTTGTTCTGATTTCACACAGACTGTGTGCCAGAATTCTGATTGTTTTCTTCAGTAATAGCTAATAGATCTCATGTCTGTTCCCTCCTGAAATTTTATTGTGGTTTCATGAGGGCAAAAAATGTGGAATTTTTGGTTGTTTTCCCCTACTGTTAAATAGAAACACAGTGTTTTTGCTGTGACAAGCAAAATTCAGCACCCAGCATGTCAAAAACTCCAAGGGAGTCGTCTGCCATTGCCTCGGAGTTGTTTTCTTTGCTTTGAGAAAGCAGAGTGTCATAATTTCCACTTTGGATATATGTGCAACAACAAGAGATTACCATTTCCTTGCCAAAAACAGTCCTTTCATCTAGCATCAAAGAAATAAAATCTATCACACTCAGATGAAGTATTAGCTCCTTCTTTATCTCCATGTAATATATTTTATAGTACTAAGAAAACTATTGCAATATCCATGGTGAACTTTACCAAGAGAGAGGTTCCACACAAGGCTCCATGTAGCTTTTTAAAAGTTTGAAATTGCCTTATGCACTAAAGGGGGAAATGCTCCTCTTTTTAATACCCATTCCATTGGCTTCAGTGGAGGTATTTTTCAACTGAATAATTGCTCTATTCTCCCACAACTTGTGCTGTGAATAACAGCTTCCTACTGCACACTACTGTGAAAAAAAAGAGTCCCTAAATGGTCTGTCACAGAAGCAATGCCCAACTCATTTCTCTGTATCCTGCCACATGTTGTCTTTCCTGTAAACTTTATTGAATGTACTGAAGCTAACAGGATTTTGAGTACAATGATCACTTGAAACAGCAACTTCTCCTTTTGGCTGTTTAAAAAGGAGAGAAACAAGAGATGGTTTCTAGTGAAAGTACCATGTGGACCATACTGAGACAGCTCAGTGCTGACATCTGAAATGAGCAGTCTGGAGAGTGCTTGGTCCCTCTGTGGCAGTGACGTGTGGCGCAGAGCAGGGGACTGTGCCAGCCAGCCTGATGAGCACACAGGGAAGCCTCTGTAAATATTTGCTCTCTCAGGAGGATCCATTTGCTTAAGGTCAGTGATAATGCACGCGTAGATCCACACAATAAGGTAGCAGAGAGCCACATGTCTGCACTGTGCTTTGCTTTACTGTGTGTCCTCTGGTTCTTAATAAAATCGCCAGGGAGAGGGAAGCAAGGGCTCCCCTCCAAAAACAAGACCTGCTCTGAATCCACAATCAGGAGTTTTTGACATTGCTGTAAGCCCCTCAAATAGCAACCAGGGCTAAGAGCTTACTGCTGAGCTACCAAGCTCACAGGCACATGTCTAAGTGCTTTACTGGCCAGGGGCCAGGGGATGCAGAGCACGCGAGCAACCATCAGCAGTGCCCGTTGCAATCAGTGGGCATCCCGAGGCTTGAACCCAGCAGACTGCTCAGAGACTGTAGACTTTGTCTAGAAATGTCAAGCACGAGTGTGTTCAAAAGATTCAGCTGCTATATTTAACTGCTGCAATGTGTGGAGTATTGTTTTGCAGAGCTTCAAATGACACTTGCTCTGTGCCTCGTGGCTCGCGCGGCCTGACCCACCTCCAGGCTCCAGGTCCGGATGCAGAGCAAGGCTGGCGGGGTCAGCAGGGACCTGTCCCCGTGCGGTGCCCGCGAGCAGCGCGAGGCTCCCGGCAGCCCTGGGGGCCGCGTCGCAGCCGTCGGCCCTGCGTAACCCTGCAAACGTGGGCGGCCCAAACGGGACCAGCACTAGGGGACCTGCGGGTGCCCACAGGATCACACGTGGGTATTACAGAACAGCCCCAAAGGACAGGGTGAGGGATGACAACCTTACGAGAAAACGCCCAACACAGAAATGTAGACTTTCCATTTACAAACAGGATTGCCTAAAATCGGGTGCCTAATTATGGATTTAAGCACCCACACAAATGTCCTGTCTTTCAAAAGTGTTATCAAATGCTGTCATCTTAAGTGTAGATAAATCAGTTTGATTGGTTGTAGGGTTTTTTGGGAGGGGTGCCTGTGACTTTTAAAGCAGAATGTTGAGATGAGACATGATTTTTTGGAGATATTTTTCAGTTTTATACCATTGTGATATGGTTTCCTATATTCTCCAGAAATACAACAGCTCTCCACGATTTTTATTTTTGGATCTTAACTGGAAGAGTTCTTTTATTCAGCCAAGGGAGACTTCATTCTGCCTATCCTAATCTTAATTCAAAAAAATACTCTGCCTGTCACTTACATTGGAGAAGCTTCTTATCCTGTCACAGTCTCTTCTTTGCACATGAAAAGAGAAATATTGCTTATTTGCTACAGCTGCCAAGAAGCACGTTTTGAATTAAACAAGGCGATGTGGCAGGCTATGGAGTAATCACATGCAAAAAAATGAAGAAGGAAAAAGAAAACAAGTATAGTGGGGAAATGCATCACACTTACTGTCTTCATATTAGCTCAGCCATATTGGTCTCCCCAAAAAGGTGAGTAAGCTGTAACAAAGCTTGAAAATACAAAATCTGAAGGTTGAAGAAAGTGTGTGCTAACACTTTGCCAGTTAATATTTTTTTGGACTTGAAGCTGCTCAGTGAATTGATCTTAAACTGAACTATTTTCAAAAAGGAATCACTAAAAACTGTGTAACTCAGTGTAGCAGAAATCAAAAAGGTCAAAACAAATCAGATTAAAAAAAGATGCATTAGATGAGGTCTATTTTAAATTAAGGTTTGTTCTAAACTGCTGTGTTTCAGGTCCACGACAACACCTTAGGCAATGAAGTCAGGAATAAACAAATTCAACTGGCAATGCTTTCTATTTTTCTTTTCTTTTTCTTTTTTTTCTTAAACTTTCCTCTGATTATTTTCCGCTGCAGCATCTGCCATAGGATAGTGTCGCTCTCAGGCTCTGGACCCCATGGACAGTTCGGCCCGCCGCGGCGGCAGCCCCAGCGCTGCTCCCCACGAGACGCCGGGCGCTCGCGGAGCCCGAGGGCACGAGCGGCGCGAGGCAGTGCCAGAGGCAACCCCTGGGAGGCACCTTGCTCACAGGGCTACTGCCACCTCCGGGACTGCATTGCCTGCGCTTGCAGACGCCCTGAGGATTTAGGGGCACAGTGATACCTTAATATTGCCTTTGAGGAGAGAATTTGGCGTTGGTGGGAACACCCAACCTTTGGGTGGAGAGAACTGCTGCTCTTGGCCACTGATCCCTCCTCGGGCCGACGAAGGCACCTTGTGCCTGGTCTTTCCCAAGCGTCGCTGCTTTCCTGGACAGCTGGCGCTTAGCTCGTCATTCCTTCTGCAGTTCCACCTCAATTCTAACCACTAATTCCAGTGAAGGAAGGGCAGTTGCTTCCTCACCAATTATCTGCTAGGTTTTCAACTCGAATACTAAATGGGTCGGCTGAGTGACAAGCTGATGGTGATTTAAAAATAGGACACAACAGCTAAGCAGACTATATGAAATATGTAAAAGGCAGTGCAATGCTTGTCACTAGCAGCAGGTGGCAATGCAAAATGCTTCATGGCTGCAGTTTAAAAAAAAAAAAACCTCAGCATTCCAGAAAATACTCTTCAAAGCTCCTGGCAGGAAGCTATCCCAGCCTTCTGTTTCACAGAGCTCCTTTGGCTTTTCACTACAATTGCAGTGAGTTTCTTAACAGCCAGCCTGCCCCAAAAACACTGACATGCCTTTCTGTATGAAACAATAGATGCCAAGAGACAGAAAGGGGCCTTGATGAATTGCATGGCAGATAAGAGGTCAGTCAGTCACTGGGGATAGTAATGTCCCTGTGCATCTAACAAGGCAGGCTCCTTTGAAAAAAAAAAAATGAAAAAGAAGTTGAAGTTCTTGCCTGGAGATAGCCCATTTTCCCTCTGATCATCCTTGCCAGGTATGGGGATCTGGAGAACCCCATAAAATCACCAGTCTCACATTGTCTGTTGGTTGCATTCTAACTCCTACTCTATCCTCTCAGCAGAATGGCCCATTCAACATACATCAGAAAAGTCTCTCTGGATTCTGCCCCTGTTACAGCAGAACAATTCAACCTTGTTTCTTCAAATTGTCCCCGCAGCAGTCTGGGCCCAGTGCAAACTAGGAGGTAGGCTGCAAACTGTGGTGTTTCAAGGACTTGCCCACACAAACATAGGCTTTTTCTCTCTTAACTATGATGCTGGAAAGAGAACAAGAAATCACTGTAATGGGGATTGCCCTGCCCCAATTTTATTTGGCCCTGTGGCAAATCTAAGTTGCAAACTGCTAGCAAAGCACCACTGTATCTCCTTGACTCCAGAAAGCATTTCTATCCATACATGCTAAATCTCTGTTGTTGCATTCTGTTACAACTCTAATTTATTTGCAAAGAATGAACTGCTATAGCTCATGTGCAAGTTTGCTGGTGAGAGCTGTGTGCAGCATTTTGAATGCAATGCCCCACCGACCGAAGGCAAAACATGTTACTCAGGCAACTGCTAGAGACACAGGGGAAAAATATTTGGAGCAGACGAGAGGCAATATTCATCAAATGAAATGTCATAAAAACTGTGTGGAAAGAAAAATCATAATCAACTCTGAGTTCTTCATCATAAAAAAGGAGTCTAAATTCAGTCCATAAAATATTCCCGTAATTTTTCTTTCCATATGAGCCTTTGAAAGTCCTAGCTATGTAAGACAAAGACACAGTCAACTAAATCAAGGAATGATTCAACAACTATTGCAGTCTCCTGATGCCAAATAAACAGTATGGCCAACATGTTTTGTCTCCTTTTGGAGATCAGCCAAGCCTTTAAAATAAAACTTATGCAGAAAGGTTGGACAGATGTATTTTGCTAAGAACTTACTCCATACTCTCATTTCCCTTCCATTCTGTGCAGTACTGTTCATCTGGCAGAACTGAGGGGGGTTGGTAGGCACCGCTGGCCTTATCATCTGATCTCCTATTATTCTGATTTGGTACATTTGAATCCTGTTTTATTGGCATTAGCATAGATGACTGTAGCACTAAGAACAAGGTCTCTCTAGTGTAGGCTTTAATATAGCTGGAGGCTTTTATCTGCCAAATTCCTACCTACCAAAATGCATTATGAGAACTCCCAAGTAAACAAAAGAAATTAACACCCAAATAACCTGTGGCTAAAGGCATGAGATTTGCAGGAAAGTCACTTTTGCTGCCCAGCGAGGACTGGCTGAGGGGATTATAGCAAAAGACGCCAGAATAAAAGATTGAAGCAAAGGATATACTAGCAAAGTTTGTTCAAACTGAGTTTCTGGAGTCATTTCAAGCAATGCAAGGAAAGAGAGAGATCCACTGACATTTTGAAGTGTATCTTTTTCGCAATCAAACCAATAAGGCAGGAAGTTTATCTTTTAAGCGACCTGTCAAATCTTGAAAAGCGGCACTGTCCTGATTATCCCAGAGCTATACACAGCACAGGTGCATATCCCTGTGCCAGGCGTGTTTGGCTTAGTTATTTTATAAAACAGGCTGCATTACATTTCAGTGATTTACAACAATTCACTTCTATATATAAGTGAATTTAAGTGGTTTAAATGGACATACATGAATTTCAGATTTTATAGCCACTTTTCTACAGATTTGTATGTAAGCATAAAGCATCGTGGCTGCCTGTGCACATCAGTAATGCCTGTCTTCTCCCTGTACACATTGGTGAGACAGTCTTGTTGCTGCACAGTGGCATTTGGTCACTGCATGTGACATCTGAGTTTCTGAATGTCCTCCTGAGGTGCAACTGGCACAGAGACTCTTTGCCAGAGTGTCCCTCCTCAGTGTCCGGCAGAATTCTTTATTTCTGTTAAAGCAGTTAAATGGCATATTTACATTACTTACCATGATCCCAAGCCTCTCCAAATACAGAGCACAAGGAGACAGCTTAATACTGCAGGAGCTTAATGGGGAGATTCTGTGAGCTATCTGGGAGTCTAAATAATATAGATGTTTACTTCCACCTGCAAATTGTTGACACAATTGCTCAATTGACAGCTCACAAGGAGATTGATGAGATATTCCTTGCTCTCTACTTGGATGTACCTGAGCTGTTGCTTCCAGCCAACATGGTTGGACTGACAGAGGATCTTCCCAGCCTGCTGGATACGACCGGCGGTCCCGGTGTGCCATCCCATTCCTGAGCTTTGACTGGCTCCCTGGAGGAAGCTGTCCCGTGATGGCCTCCCCTCTCCTTGTTCTCCAGCTTTGGTAGTGGTTCAGTGCTGTGACTTCTGATCTTCAGCTCATCCAGCGGTTCTACAAAATACACAAGACCACACTTCATTACAGTCTGCCTCTAATTACCTGTATCATGTAGGAATCTTTCACTCAATATTCCATACAAAGTAATTATAAAACCTTCTAAAGGCAACTTAAAATTTTACCTTCTGTTCCTAAAACCTGTACTGAGGGTTAGTTTCAATACAGTTTAAAATTACCAAAACCAGACGTTTTAGGTTGGTACAATGTGACTTTCTTGTTACAACTTTTCATGCTACAAAATCATTCTTTCTGAAAATGATATCCCATCAAAATATGCTTTTAGTAACAATTTTCAAAAAGATCTTAATTATTTTCAGGTGTCATTTCTTTGGAAATAACTTCTTCTCCAGGTACTTTCCAAGGAAGCTCTCTCCTAAAGCAATACTGTGCAAGTAATACATTTGCACTTGTCATGAGCACTAATAAAAGGTAGGTGACCCGTAAAAATGTCCAGCGTTAATATTTCTGGTGTGCCCAGCACCGTGACCTAGAGGATAAAATTTCACTTGGTGGAAAAATCCTTGAAGTCAGAAAATGACGTGCAACACCATGAGTCAATAAAAGAAGGAGAAATTTCAAAAACACAGGTGAATGATTTTTCAAGAGAAGCAGCGATGCCTGCTTTCTTCACAGCTGCTGGTTTTCTGTTCCTTTCTGACACTCTTATTTCATTTCTTGCAGGTTGAGCAACACACCAAACAAACAATCTATTCCTGAACTCTTCCATCTGTTGCTGTGAAAAATCCCCAAGAAAAGCCACATACTGAAGGCACATTAAGAAATTACTTTAAATCATAACAGTTCATTACAATTCAAGCTCTCAATTTAGTCGTCCAGGTTTATAAACGGTCTATTCTAACTTCAGTATGCTCTATTTTAACTTCAGTACGTAGCAACAGCCTGGGGATTTACATTTCACGCAGATGGACAACCTTCCCTTCAGCCCTCTCTCTCTGCGGCTATAAGAGACATTCCCAAGATGTGGGAGCGCCACGGGGAGGCCGCAGTGCCGGGAGCCCCGGGCAGGCTGGAGAGGAGAGCAGCTCCCCAGGGCCCTGGTAGGACCGCGGTGGTCGTGGCCTGCGGAACTCCTGGGGACACTACGCCTTGGCCTCAGCATCAGCTTCTTCCCCCCAGCAAGAACCAGGTCAGCGAGAGCTGCCACTCACGCGCCGCAGCCCCAGAAAACAGCCACCTTCATCCCACTTCCATCCATACGGGGCTGAAAAACCCACCCTGGTTCATCCTTGCTCCAGCAACCAGTGGTACAGGTGATATTAGCTCTCTAGATGGAATGCAAGAGACCTTGTCCATGGGCAACAATAATAAAAAACGGCATTTTGGGTTCTTTGACATTGTAGTCGGCAGATGAACTGGTTTGTAAGAAACAAAGCAATCATTTAGAAGTTTCTTAAAGGAAGTATTATATATGGAAACACATAAAAATATCTAACTGAAAATGCAGAGCAATATCCAATCATTAATGTATTATATGAATTACTATTAATTAATAGTAAAAATAAAATTTAATAATATCCTGTGCCAACCTCTAAGGTGTTTTTTGTTATTCACAGCAATGTGTCCAACTGAAACCTATATAACAACCTCAGTTGAGCAAGTCATATAAATAGTATTCAGCAAACATTTTGTGTGACAAAGACGCTCAAAAATCAAACCGCTTCCTTGAACTTTTAGGTCACTCACCTACTTTAATGTATGCAAAAAGACACTGCAATGAAAACCCAAACTGCTTGTTTTTCTCATTGGTAACCCCAGCAGGACACAAGGTCAAATAACAGTCTGCATCCACGCAACACGACGGCTGCCTTTCAGGGGCCTTTGCTCTGAAATGTCTGTGACAGCTCCGGCTGCGACTGCGTACAGAGACTTGCTCATACAAAGAGCCTTGCACAGAAATATAGAGGCCGAGTTAAAAAAAAAAGACAAAAGATGCTCTCTACCTTATGTTTCCTCTGGGCATTGATAAATCAGAAAATACTGCCACTGTGCTTTTTCCACATAACAGTTATGAGCAAATATATTTCAAATGCTTCTATAAACCAGAAGTATCCGCATCCTCTGGATGCCATATATTTGGAAAAGGGAAGAGATGGGTAAGGTTTCAGAGTTTTTTAGAGGCACATACGACATCCCCCCTACTAGAGGCTTCAGCCTAAGCTCCAACTTGCACCTTCCAGCAAAACCAGCAGGGATTGCAAAGGGTGGAATACGCTTTCAACAGCGCAGAGCCAGGCCTCACGAATGCCCCATCAGCTGAATGCATCATTCAACAGGGTCAATTGACCATGTCATTTGGCTGTGACGCTGTGACTACCTGATCGAGAAGCGTCCCCACGAGTGTCCCACGGAGCCCGCGGCCCTGCGACACTTGTCACGCGCGGGCAGCCCTGAGCTGCGCTGCGGCTCCGCGCGGAGCACTGGGCAGGGATCCCTCATTTACCCAAGAGAACCGCTTGCACTTGCTGCTTGATAAAAACGGTTTGTGCATTCTTGGCTTTATTGTCAGCAGAATCAAAATGCAGCAGTTCTCTGCAAACAGCTGGAAACAATGGAAATATTCAGCCTAAATAAAAACTTGGCTTATAGAGCATTTCTTTATAAGGTGTAGAAAATCACTTTTCAGCTGGCTGTCTAGACTTCATAAATTTGCATTCCACTATCCTTGCTTGGTGATTTTCTGTTCTCAGTTTATCTAAAAAGTAATATATCCTAAAAATGAAAAGCAGATTGAAGCAGATTATAATGTCATGCAACCCATCACAGCACCCAAATCACTGTCATTTGCTGATCATTATCAGTAACGCTGATGCACAGTCAGAAAAACAGGTTAGCATTTTGTATAGCCTTTTGTAATATTACGTTCCTGCTCACTTCGGAATACATAAATAATGAAAAAAATAGTCATTTTTAATATCTCACTTTTTCTCAAATATTTTGTGGGGAAATTATTTTAAAATTATTTTGGCTTCGCTGATGTCTGTCATTGGAAATAACACTCAAATTTGTTTTAAAAATCACCATGCAAGTCGTTGCTGGATGCAAAAGGCTTCTGTGCTCCCCCTGCCAGGCCCTGGGGCGTTACTGGAGCCTTCGGGGGCCGTTTTTGGCCTGTGAGCCGCTGCCCGCTGCGGACGCAGCTCCCCGGAGCGAGCGCGGCAGCACGAGCGCCGTGTCCGGCGGCAGCACGTTCACGGCGCCGCGTTTCCCCTCGCGCCCTCGGCAGAAAGCTCACGGTGCCGCGTGTCCCCTCGCGCCGTGTCCGGCGGCAGCACGTTCACGGCGCCGCGTTTCCCCTCGCGCCCTCGGCAGAAAGCAGGACCCGCGCGTTGCTCCTGCCCAGGGTCGCCCATGGCGCGGGAGCCTCCCACTGACCGCGAGGCAAACTGCAATATTCTTAACAAGGGAAACCCTGCGGAAAGGCTGGGATTTAACAGACCCCTTTATCCGCACTGATCCCATACTGAAAAGATGAACTCTAAGCGGTCACATATATTTTGCTTAAAGGTAACAGAACTTTCTGCACAACTTTTTATTTGGCAAGTGCAGTAACGCAGCTACCAAGATACCTCAGACACCTCCTGCTGCTAGAAGCCCTAGCTGGGAGCCAGGGGAGGCGGCTGGGACTGTGCTGAGTCGCACGATGGCCGCGGGCAAATCTGCCAGCAGCCAAGCGCTGCGTTTGGAGAGCTGACATTATTATGGAAAGCATCTTTATTGTTCAATAGCTCCTAAGCCAAAATAATACATAGAAATGTAAATTTCAAGAAATAATTCACTGTGTTAAATATTTATGGATACATAAATATCCATAAATATCTAGTTGGTTAAGATTCCCATAAAGACAGTCAAATGTTTCAAGCTCTTCCAGGTGTCATCTTATTTCAATATTCAGAAACTTGCATTTTCCTCATTTATTTCACCTAAATCCCAGGCTTTTCTGTTTCAAGAAAAACATGGTACCTAAAAACTCTTAAGAGAGAACATATTTTCTAAATAATTGGCATGTACAACTTCCCCTTTATGAAAGATCCTTTACAGGCTGCACACCCTAGACAGTTGCATGTGAGCTGTGGTACTGGAAGACTTGTAAATGCTAAAGAAAGCAGGAAACCTAGTTAACCTGAAACTTAGAGCAAAGTGAACTGAAAAATACAGCTAAAGAAAACATTTTACCCAAAAACTATTATTCAAATGAATACATAGTCTGTGGCCAGTCTGCTGCTGGGTTCCTAAGAATGAATTAATTTCAGGTCCTTGATGTTTCTTATTGTAATGCTAAGTGCTAAACAGCACATTTTTATTATTATTTGGGGGGCTTTTGGGAAGAGAGAAAAGCAATTGTCTGAGGGAACTGCAAACGCGGGCTGTTCTGCAGCATCTTGCTCAGCTGTGAGCTGAAATGTGTAAGCTAGTCAGCCATGCATTATTCATTTATTCTTTTTTCTGTGTTTGTTATAAACCTAAATAAATAATACATCACTTCAGGCAAAACTTCCCTACTTTGGGAAGCGAATGGTGCTACTCCTAGAGTCTAAAATGAAGCCTCCGCATAGCCATATAATGGTACGGAATGGGCTTGCCTGCCACGTCCACCAGCACCCACTGAGCAGGGTCCCCAGAGCGCCTGGCGAGCAGCACAGCTCCTCCTCGTGCACACCACGGATACTTCAGGTACCTCGAGAGCACATTGCAAAAGCAGAGCTGCTTTTTAATGGCGTTCTTGATCTGTGCTTGTTTGGCTGATCTGTGCCGCTATGCAAGTGCCCTGAGCCCTCCCAAAGAAACAAACAGGCTATTAATACTGCATGCAAGAAACACAGATAATGCTCAGTGCATAAGACATTTTTTCCAAAAAACCAAGAATATATTATATTGTCAATGAAAGACATTTCCTCATCTCTATTAACTATGGTGGTTTGTCTATTCTGACTTCATCTCATTGCTAATTAAGCAGAAGTTTGCTTTGCATATCA